AATTCAGCTTCTCTCTGCTGTTTGGTTTTCCCACTGATGAAGGTCAGTTTCAGGGTGTATTTGTCATCAAACCTGGGGGGAAAAAAACACAGATTTCAGAGTGTAATTCCATAGAACGGCCTGAGTTGCAAAGGAGCACAATGCTCATCCAGTTCCAACCCCCTGCTGTGTGCAGGGTCACCAACCAGCAGCCCAGGCTGCCCAGAGCCACATCCAGCCTGGCCTTGGATGCCTGCAGGGATGGGGCATCCACAGCCTCCTTGGGCAACCTGTTCATTTGAAGCTATTAGGTTTTCCTTCCCCATTTAATAAGAAGTGAAATGTGAACACTTGTGGCAAATGACCCTCGTGCCATCCCTCTTAACTGAGACACTGTGAAACAGATTTAAGAGTGCAAAAATAAGAACACTTTGGATCCTACAGAGTCAATGCATGTGGGATCAGCACAAAAAACACCACTCCTTTTCCCTCATTTTGGTGGAATTTGGCCAAAACACAGCTTTCCTGCACTGTGATCACCACAGGTGGTGCCGATGGTACCGTTTGAGGCTGGAGGAGAGCTGCCACACATCATCAGGGTCCATCCCAGCTGGATCCTTCCTGTGAGCCACCAGGAAGATGCTCTTCTCTTTGTAGGAGGTATAGATGGTTAGAATTCCCATCATCACAAAATATGTTCGACCAAGTTAAGGAAATTCAGGTGTTGTGCCTGTGTGTGTTGTCAAACCAACCTGGCAGCCCACACACGAATCCCACTGCCATCCCATTAGGAACATCACTCCAAGCAGATTTTGGTATTGCAGAGTTACTCTTAAATATGAGTTGGCTTTTAGAAAAGTCGACCAGAGCGCCCAGGGGAGCCTGCATCCACACAGACAGACTCACATGTAAGCACATGACAACCAGAGCACTGTGTCACATGAAGCAGAATTGGCTCTCAGCTGATTTCCAGGCAGAGAAATTCCCACAGGGCCGACCATGGGAAGACACAGAAGGGCTTTGTTGTTCTTTATGAGAAAACCAAACCCCCGAGGTCTTAAAATGAGACCATATGTAAAGGATATGAGACAACGCAGAAGGCAAGGACAGGTTTGGATTCAGGAAAGGGGTGCAGGTAATCCCAGATCAAAGCGACGATGGCGAAGAGACATGAGATGGTGCAGATGATGAGACGCCCATCGATCAGGCGAAAGTTTTCCACATATTTGTACTTCTCCAGGAGGACCTGTGGGAGGAACGCAGAGATGGGTTCACTCTGTGCTTTCAAAGAATCATAGAATGGCTTGGGATGGAAGGGACCTCAAGGATCATGAAGCTCCAACCCCCACCACAGGCAGGGCCACCAACCTCCACATTTCAGAGCAGC